CGGGTCCCATCGCGGGCGACTCCCCCAGCCGCCCCCGGGACCCTTGCTCGCTCCTCCTCGAGCTCGGGCTCTGCGGTCCGAGGAGCCCCGGTCCCACGCGCCGCCGGAGCCCCGCTCGCCGCCCACGGACCCCGGGGCCCGGATCCGCACGGTGAGCGCCTTCCCTCCCCGCGCACCGTGGGCCTCCGACCCTCCGGCCCTCTCCGGAAAAAACCTCAGACCTTGAACTCCCTCCCTCTCCTGACGGAGTCTTCGTAATGGCACTGACCACCTGTCCCATCAGACCTGACTGAACTTCATCAGAGTTTTCGACTGAAATCCATGGAAAATCATATATATATAATAGAAATCTCGGCGCTCAGTATGAAAACATCTGAAAAGTCGAACTGCGTTGCTGTCCTCCACAGACACATGGGACATTCTAGGCGCCTATCCCATCCTGATTCTGACCACCAAGCCGCCTTTCTACCGAAGTCTTTGGCTCAGGGGTCTGTCTGTCTGTCTTTGGGGCTCACCTCTGTTTCTGTCTGCCGGCTTCTGTCTAGCTCTATGCCTATTTCCACGTCAGCATTGGCATTACAGGGTCTTTTTTCCTAGTTCCCACTGCCCTTATACCCTCTTCAGTTTCCTCTAAACCATGCTTAGTTCGCCGCCTGGGGTCCTCGTACTGGTTTATTCTTGAACCCCAAGTCCACCAACCTTTCTTCCTCACACTGTCAGACCATTTCTGACGGGTTAACAGTCGGACCTCCACAGACCCCAAACCTGAACTTACTAACAGTACTCAGAACTTTCCTCTGCATTCTCTCTGCCAATATATTTTCCTTCAGACTCTGGTGGCTTCTTGCCTAGTAACTTGACACTTAGTTTACAAACACAGGCGATTTGATTTACTGGAGGCGATTTGATTTACTGGGCGAATTACCATCATTTATATGTAAATAAATATGTACTCTCTGTTCTTATTAAAGACAAGGTTATTGGATTTGGTCACAAAGTGGACACCTACATAAGGTTTTATTAAGGGATAACAAGTTCGGAGGTGACGGGGAGGGTCAATGAAGTTTTAAGTACACATAGTGGATAAAGAACAAAGTATTGAGGCTGGGGAGATGCCTCAGTGGTTAAGAGCCCTGGCAGCTCAAGAGCCTTGGCTGCTCTTTCAGAAGACCTGGGTTCATCTCCGAGCGCGCACACGTGGCAGTTCACAACTGTCCAGTTCCAGGGGAATCTGACATCCTCACACAGACACACATGCAGGCCAAACACCACACACCAATGCACATAAAAAAAAAAAAAAAGAAAAGAAAAAGAACAAAAGTACTTTGAGGTAAGCAACCTGTCATAGAGGACACACCAATACAATAGCTCCTGCAATCCCAGCTGAGCCAGGGGGATCTCAGCTCAAGAGCATCCTGAGCTGCAAAGCCAAACCTGGTCACAAAACAACCAAGTGTACCGTTACCATTTACCAAGTCAGGTGCTGTTTGTTACTGGTGATGCTGCCACGGGGAACAAAAAGCCCATTTGGTGATGGAAGGCCAAGTGAAAGCATTCTATTTCACCCTGTGTTTGCAGAGTTAAGCCAGCAGCTGAATTACTAAATGAATAGATGAGCGGAGAAAGTAACAACAACAACAACAACATGTTTGCCGGAAAGATTGGAGCTAGAACTGAAGAGGTAATGAGACAGAGCCGACCCATTCAGATGGCACATAAAAAGACTCATCAACAGTGGCAGGTTTACAGAACATGACAGAGGAAACTGTGCTTAGCTGAGAGGAGGAAGCAGAGAAAAACAAAGTCTGTGATGAAAACTGGAAAGGAGCCACAAAAGCCTACAAAAAAAACAAGGAGGGCCATTTTTGAATCAGATCCTGGACTGACTGAAAAGCCAGAGTGTCATTTGAGGATGCAAGAGTGATGCCAGGCTTTTTTGCATTTTTTTTTAAAGCAAATCTTGTTGAGTAAGCCGGGTGCGGTAGCTCATGCCTGTCATCCCAGCATGCAGGCTGAAACAGGCGGGTCAAGAGTTCAAGATCACCCTCAGTTACATAGTGAATTTGAAGCCATTCCAGGCTACAGGAGATTTAGTCCTAAAATACTTACATACATACATACATGCAAACATATATACATACATACATACATGCATGCATGCATACATATCCTGTTAAATTGGGGGAGTATAGGTGGATCCTGTGGTATGGATATTCATGTTTTCATTTACATTTTTCTTTTAGTTGCAGAAAAATCCAGAAAGGTTAAAAAAAAATTTTTAAGATATTTAGATTATACCCATTTTACAGATATCTTTAGAAACCTAAAGAAAAGCTAGAACTAGAAGTGAGGTATGATGGACAACCTTGAAGACAAGTCATGAAGGACTCTACTCGTCATTTTTACTCAGGGCCTATTCTGAGCTAAGATGAGGACATTTATGAGCAAATGTGCAGCTTCTGTCAATAAACCATGATCGATGTTTTGATAGAATTTCATGGGGTAATGGGCAGAGAAGTTACCAAGGCCAGGGCATCTAGAAAGGAAGTGGCGTTTTAACTAGAGTGTGAAAGAAAGGAGGATGAGAAGAGAAAGTTCCCAGGGGTAGAAATAGTACGTGCAAATACCCCAGGGTGGGTGAGAGTAGACCAGTTTAGAGGAATTGAAAGCCGGGGGACTGTGGTTGAAGTACAGAGTTCTAGAGACATGAGGAGAAAGGAAGCTACAAAAATACACAGACACAAGATCCTAGAAGCTCATGTGAACTGTGATGAGGAGTTGAAATTTCATCCTGACAGAACAGGAACACATTAAAACATGTAGGCAGAGAAGAGAAATGCTGCTGTTGGTTTTAGGAAGTAGCCACTTGGAAACAGAGTTGAGTTTTGTTCTCTGACCTAATAGACACCTTTTGATTTTGTCCCCCGCCCCCCATGCTGGGGGTCGAAGCCAGGGCCTTGCACACACCAAGTACTCTGTAGCAGAGCTCTAGCTGTCCCTCATGCTCTTTCTTTGTAGGATTTTTACCTTGGTGTATCGAATTGTACCTTTCTTTAGGTCTATCTTCAGTGAAGTTTGTAGAGCTTCTTCACTATGTGGCTCAAGATCTCAGGAAATGGCTGTTCGTTATTATTGTATTAAGACATAATCTCATTGTGTAGCCCAGAATAATCTCAAACTTGTGAGCCTGCAGCCTCAGTCTCCTGAGTGTTAGCATTGAAGGGTACCACCAACACAACTGCTATTTCTTCACATATTTCTGTTTCATCATCCTCTCTCTCTCTCTCTCTCTCTCTCTCTCTCTCTCTCTCTCTCTCTCTCTCACACACACACACACACACACACACACAGACGAGACTTCAACTACATACACATTCTATCCTTCTTTGCTAACTATTCTTTTGTCGCTCAATGCCTCAGTCTAGATAATTCCTTTGATTCTCTGTTCTAGTTCACAGATTTTCTCTTCAGCTGTATCTTTTCTGTAAACTGTTTACTGAGTTCTTTTTTTAGTTGCTGAATGTGTAAGCCCTTTGTTTGTGTGTTGAGACAGGGCCTCTTTATGCAGTCCTCAATGTCCTGGAACTTGCACTGTAGACTAGGCTGGCCTTGAACTCACAGAGATCCTCCTGCCTCTGCCCCCCAAATGCTGGGTTTAAAGGTGTGCAATTCATAAGTTCTTCCATTTTACTTTAATTCTTTTTTATGGCTTCTGTATCTATGCTGAAACTATCTTGATATTTAATTCCTTGGAATATTAGCCATAGCTATTTTATATTCTCTGTCTGATTATATCTATAGCTGGAGCTCCCTTGGGTCTCTTTCTATTGTCTGATTTTCCTCTTGTCATTTCTTGTGTGTTTGTAAGCATAGTGGAGTTTTTATTTTAAAAGTGGGCCTTGCATCTTACAAAACTACAGAGATGATTTTGTGTGTTTATGCTATTTTGCTTTAAGATTCTGTGGTTCTAGTTAGCTGGGGCTGCAGGATCAATTGTGATTAACAAGATATTAGAACTACTAAAGCAAAACCTTTGCTTTGCTGGGATACTTGATGCTGCTCGGCTAGAGCTGAGAATTTAGTGGTGATTAGGAAAAGACCAGCATTGCTGAGGTGAAACCTTCTGGGAAGTGTTTCCTAAGAGTC